TTCTCTCCCTCCCTCCCTCTTCCTCCCTCTCTCCCTCTTCCTCCCTCTCTCTCTCTCCCTCTCTCTCTACCTCTCTCTCCCTCTCCTCCCCTCTTCATCTCTCTCTTCCCCCCTCCACTCAATCGGTACACACTTTTTTCTTCTCGTGTTTGGTTGGCAGGTGGGATGAGGATTTATGTTTCGTTTATTATTTAGGAAGCGCCGCGCTGCTGCGATCGGTTTTTTTATGTGACTTTTCGGCTGCTGCTGCGAGTGGGACGGGGCTTGGCTGAGCCCCCCCCCTCTCTCCCACCTCCTATTTCCCCGCCCGGAGATGGAGGGGGGGGGGGAGTCTCTCTCGGGTTGCGTTTTTGCGCGTGATTGCCGGATTCAAGTGAGCGCACGACCACAGCGGCGCGCGCGCCCGCACGCGTGTTTCCTTTTTCTGGTGTTGTTATATTATTTTTAGGGACGATTTTATTATCATTATACGTTATTATTTTTTGATCGGTCCACCCTGCTCTACCCCCTTTCCCGCGCTTTAGCTCGCGTCGCCCCACAGCCGCCGCTCTTCCTACGGATACCGCCGCCCCCATCCTTTTCCGGCTTTAGCCTTATTTACTCAAAAAAAAGGGGGTGGGGGAGGAAAAGAAAGCTATTCGCGCCCCCTCTCCTTGTGTGCGCTTTCTCTTTTCCAATTTGTTCCCGCAAGTCAACTGTTTGGATTTTTTTGTCGTCCTCCCGCCACCTCCCTGGGTGGTTCCTGTAGTGGGATGGGGTGGGCTGGCACCCTATAAGCTATTGCCGTTGCTCGCCTCCGCCTGCTGCACCAACTTTGGTCTTACTCAACTATATCGGCGGCGGGCTTACGCTATGCGACTTACGTAAAAGCAGCCCTTCGTTCGTCCGCGGGGACGACGACGCAGAAGTCTGTGTAACAGTAATCAGCGCATTACACTGAAAACCCGCGCCGTCGTATATTTTGTAGTCATACCCTCCTGGCCTTGTTTCACTCTGTTGAGGTCATGCACACTGGAAAAAATATCTACCTCATTAGTGAACAACAGTATCTCTGGAAAAACTAATGTGACTTGCGTCACATTACAAGTGTGACGTCCTTTCGCATCAATTGGTGTGACAGAAACTCAGGTCACATTACGTGGTGACACGTGTCACATTAGTCTTTCCAGTGAGTAAACTGTCACTTGAAATAACGGTGGTGTACTGCCAAATGTTCTGCGCAGTTGAACAGTGTCGGACCGTACTGTCATACCGTACACAGTAGGACAGTTTAAAACTGTTGTTAACTTAACGCTGTAGATTTTTGTTTTTACACTGCACAATTGTTTTTCACGGCAGTACATGTCTGCTGTGAAGCTGAAGAAGGGGCTAATTTGACTTAGCACCAAACTGAGATTTTGATGGCATTTTAAACTAGATTATAATCCTCATTTGTCCACCAAACGGTTTGGTGCTAAGTACCATAGATTGGTGTATATAGGGGTTTGTAAAAGGGGCTAACTCGACTTGACTTGTTTTGTACGATAGTTGTCACATACCAGAAGACTACCAAAGGGGCTAAGTTGACTTTGACCCCCAAAGTCATCAGATTTTCTCAAGAAGCAAACGGAGTTAAGTTGACTTAGCTCCTTTTGCTATCATATTTAGATGGTAACATGTTGACTTAGCCCCTTTTGCACTGATAAAAAAACAGATAATAATGCCAATAAAAGCATTATTTTTACTGTCAGGTGTCCAGCATCAAGTTTTAAGGTAGAGCTATACTATCTGGTATGGATAGGTGATGAATACAAACAACTTCGTATGTTGTTCCCTGTAGTGATATATTGTGATGCTTCACTAATTGTGGTAATACTAGGATTGAAAACTAAACTCCCTCTTGATTTAATTTTGCGCCTGTTGACAAAACTTTGCGCATGTCAGTATTATCAGATCAGACTGTTGACTTGCGCATGATTTTTGTGTAAATTGCTTCTTTTTGTTCTAAAGTCCATGAAAATTGCTTTTAGAGAAAAGTTGACTTGGCTCCCTTTTCTATACTGACAAATGGAGTCAAGTTGACTTTTAGCCACTTTTGCCAACTATTTTCCAATGACTAAACTCTAAATTCTCATCATGTGAAAAGAGTCAATTCAACATGTCTCGATATTTCAACGATGGTAAAAAGAGTCAGTGAAGGAGAGTGATATAGAAAAACTTCTAAATGCCCGTGTGATCATTGATAGCAGTGTATTCTATCTGCATCATATTTTTTTTGAAAAGTTATGTGCAAATAGTTTTTTGCGTTCCCTGAAAACCTTGGTTTTTGGACTTAGCTCCTTCTTCCGCTTCACAGCAGATGTACATCCTTGGGCCGCGAGCCTCGGCACCTCGTTGCGTTGGTCCGGTGTTACGCTGATAGGTTCACCATTGTGACCGGCCGCACCTATTCTATCTGTCTTCTATCTCCCGGAATAGAAGGGCTGTGTGGCCGGCGAGGCAAGGGGTGGCCACACGGCACACGGTGAGATGAATACCGGCGGCCTATTTTCGTTTTGCGCTTTTGTCCCTTCTGCGGTTTTGTTTCTATTCTTCTATCCACCTATCTACCTCGCTGGCCCGGCGCGCTGGCGCTCCCCCGTGTGTTTCTCGTGTCTTTTTGTCGGCAGTGTTCTCCCTGCTGCGCAAAAGCTTTTAACCTCCCGCAGTGAGTGAAGAGCGATGAATGGATCTACGTGTTTTCATTTTCGGACGATTTTAATTAAGAGATGGGAAGTGACAGAGAGGTACAGCCCGACGTCCCTCCTCGCCCCACCCGAGTCTTTCGCTCCGAGTCTGTTTCATTCGTATTTTATATTGTACACCTCTCTATTTTTTTTATATATGTATATATTTATCTTTTTCTGTGTGTGCCCCCGCTCCCCGCTCCCCCTCTGCCGCTACAGCGGGCTGTCGAGGCGAGCCTGCTCTGTTCCAGCAGAATCACACACAAGTTTTAAATTAAAATGTTGTTTCCTTGTGTTGCAGAGAACGGGGGAGCAGTCGGACGGCGGCGTTCTACTTCGAGTGTCGGCCGGTAAGTTTACTTGCTGCTTTTGCTTAGGAAGAAGGAAAACAAAATGGGGGGGGGGGGGAGGGTTGAAAGATTGGGGTTGGTTATTCATTCTAGTCCTACCCGTTTTGCGGTGTACCGATAGGAAAGACCGATGCAGGCGCACGCGCGTGCTGGCTGGGCTGGCCTGTATTGTCACCCACCCGTCACCCGTCACCGTGCGCGCTGTCTGCTTCTCCTACACACTGAAACTTTTTGTTTCGTATCGGACTAACGTGTTTAACATTTGTTACAAAAAAAAGCACCGCAATTTTTTTCCCTTATTTATATCGGTTTTTGTTTCTATTTTTTCAAACACTAATTTACCCTACAAAAATCAAGTTTAAAATAGAGACCACACTAAATAATAAGTTCGATAAAGGTGGAGTAGCAGAGCGGTAGCCTGGAACGTGTCGTTATTCTCATACTTGAAGTTCAATCCGGGTCAATCTACATAAATATCGCGAGTTTTAATTGAACCTGCGGCAGTGGACGTCGGGAGGGCTGCGCGGGCGCGGGGGCGCAACGGTGGTCCGAATTTAAGACTTTCGAGTTAATTCCTCGCTGGGGGTGTTTGGGGCGCGGA